CTGAACACTTAGGAATTGTCTATTTTACTATACATAAATTACACTTCAATTAAAGAATTGCCACTGTAAACATTTTTAAACCACATTTTGTTTTGGAGCTATGTACACATTGGTGCGCCTAAGCCTAGTACATTATTTTAACAATATTTAAAGAAAAGATGATTTATGCTCTGATGGGGTTTGGCTTGGCAGATGACTACATTGGCATAACACTAACTACTAGAACAAATAAACTTTCATATTTCAGTGGCTTACCACAAAAGAAATTGATTACTCCATCACTGCAACAGTTCAATGTGAGTCTTCTCATTCTCTTCCATATGGTGACTAAGGGACCCAGGTTCCTTCCAGCTTATGGCTTACTAGTTCCTGCCCAGGGGCCTCACAATCTTTCACCTCCAGTTGGAAAACAAGGGGAGAGAATGTATTAGGTTGTCGGAAAAGTCATGACGTATTTTTGCAACAAAAAAACATAGAAAAAAAATACGTCATGGCTTTTCTGACAACCTAATAATTAGGGAATTTTCTAGGTTTCTAGTTGGTGACATGTATGTCTCATTTAGGCCTCTTCTGATTGTCCCAGTGCACAGCAGCCCCTTAAGTGAGGAACCAGAGGGACGTCTTGTGCTTCCCAGAACATGCTCACATTTCCCAGCCCCATGTGCCTGCCTCACCACTCCCTTTCCTACACACAGGTAGCATGGTGGCCGCGTGGAGAGGACAGCCTCTGCCACCACGCCTGAGCCTGAGCCTGAGCTGGAGCAAATTATTTGATCTTCCTATGTCTTAGCTTCCCCATCTGGAAAATGGAATGCATAAAACTACTCCTTCACAGAGTTCTTGGGCATTTTTTTTTAAAAACGTGTGAAGTATTTAGGATAATACCTGAAACGTAATACATGTTTAACAAATATTAGCTATATTACATACCACTTGCTATAACTGGCCATGCCAGAATGTCTGCAGCACCTCCAATGTGCCCTAGGCTTCTACCATGACAAAAGGCCTTGTTCTTTCTCCAGGGTCAGCTTCATGTACGTGCAATCTGTGCAGTTGCACAGGGCCCCATGCTCAGAAGGGTCCTGTGCTCCAGGCCTGGCACTTAGTCTAATGCTCTGTTTTCACCATCTTAAAAGTCCTACTAACTTTGTCTTTGAACTTGTGTTTTGTAAGTGACATTTGATGGAACAAAGGAACATGTGCGTGAGCAGAGGCGATACACTCAGTATATATGCTCACAGCTGTTCTTTGCTGCTGCACGCATGTATAGCATTCTTGATGTCCCATGAGCACAGAATTCCAATGGCCTCATGATGTGTGAGAGGTCAGCAAAACTCAAACTGAGTACACGGTAAGCACATTACATCAACGACGCAGTAAATGGAAGCATTGGCAACCTCAAGAGGCCATGCTTTCCATTCCAACCAGAACTTGCTTTGAATGCAAAAAGAAGGCAACAGCCAAGGAATTCTATCATGTCCTTTCTTGCAAGTGTTACTTCCCTGTATTAGCTAACCTTTCACTCTGAACATGATGACACTGAACGAAAGGGCACCCCATAGTTCCTTTTCCTTTTCTCATACTTTTTCCTTACTCATCAGTAAGTCAGAGATAGAGTATTGGTAGAATGAGCACATATCAAGAAGTAAAATAAAAACAGTCCCATTATTTTTCTGCTGTGTTTCCACTGTTCTGATAAGAACAAAACATATGCGTATATAAACTACAAAATACATATGTACATACTAGCTACAAAATACAAATTGTGTAAGTTTGTTAATTTCACATGAGTTAAAGGATCTTATATTTGCATTTAAAACTAGCATTGCATGATGTAAAGATGAACAGTAAAATTGATGCTGATAATTTTAAATGTGCATTTTCTTTACTTACAATATTAAAACAGCAAATAAAAAATACCATGTCGATGCCAAAGAGGGAACATGGAAGAAAGAAGATGGCTTTATATATTGTACCTTTAGCGGCACATTTTTCCTGCTTTTTGAATAAAAGGCCCCACATTTTCATTTTGCACCAGGACCTGCAAATAAGCTAGACAGCTGCATCGTTCCCTCTCTCTGACTTCTCCCAAGTTTTCACCTGGCTGCCTCCTGCAGAAAGTCTTACCTGATCCCCCTTATTCTTCATAGGCTATTGTGGCCTCCTCACCAGCAATCGTTTAGGGATTTATGTTTATATATTTCTCGGTACACCTTCACTCTTAGAGTTAATTTTGAACGTGTCATCGCCTCCAGTAGTCTGTCTTTCCTGAAGAGAAAGGACAGACTTGGCATTTTTATCTGTTTGGTCATGGACCAGAATCATTGGGACCTTCATGGCCAAAATATATTTCAGGAACTAACAATGATCAGATAGAATCAGAATCTCCAGGGCTGGGTCATGTGGCTGCACAGCTAGCTTGAGAAGTTGTTGTTGAATGAATGAAAGAATATCAATGGTTCCAGAATTCTAGAACCTGGAATGGTCATTCTTCTTCTTCCAACATCTGCTAAAATCTGATCTATTCTTGATTGTTTCAAGTGCTACCTAGTTCTGTGAAACCTCCAATTTTTTACTCTCATCTCACACCCACATCACCCATTGTACCCCCTACAGTAAAATCAGAAAGAAAAATGTTCTGTTGGCAACCCTTCTTTACCATCATGCAGCCTGTAAGACTGCCCTCAGAGGGCCAATTCAAATGGAATCCTAATAGTTCATGTTGTTTCAATAATGGTGCATTAAAATTTTCCTCCTCCATTGTTATAAAACATTATTAAAATCATAGTCTCATGAATTGTTTGAATAATACAGTTATTTATTTAATGCTTAATTTACTCTGCATTTCAGAAGTTTCCAGGCAAAATGAGATCAGAAAGACAAAGCCATTTGAACAAAGGGCAGCAAAAGTGTTTGTTATATTTCATTCTCTGTATGATGTTTCCTAATTAAGATGGAGTTTAGCTCCAAGTTATACTCAGGAAGAGAAAAAAAAATAAAAAGGTCCAGCAGCCTTTAAGGCCTATCATCCACCTTTGTAAACCAAGATTAGCGTCACCCCTCACACACACACCGTCCCCCCATCTTCCCTTGTTTACTCGCTCCGTGGCTGTCAACTGTTGTGGCCTGTCAGAGCCAGGTTTTTTCCTCAGTGGCCAACTTTTTCATTCACACTTAGCCACCAGGGGGCCCCCTGTTTGGAACAAATGGGGCCGACTCCACAGCTTTCCTCCAAACCACCCAAAATATCCCGGGGCAGCTTTGGCATAAAGTTCAGGAACTTCCTTGCAAAGGAGAACAATTTCTCTCTAACTACAAAACGTTCAAGCCCTATGGTGTAGCCTTATTACGAGTCAAGAATAAAACACGGACGTATTGCCAAGGACCGAGGAGAAATAGGGTCCGTGGAGTCTAAAGGGAGAGGCTCCCTTCTCTCGCTAGGGAGGCTTAGGGTCTGCGACTTTCTCTGGAAGCGCGCTGAGACAGTGCATCGGGCGCTGGGAATAGTTTCCCAATTCCTGACAGTTGTGATGGTTAATGCTATATGCAAGAGTGGTGGCTTTTCGCCCCTTTCCGTGGGATACTCACCAGGAGCTGGAATAAAACACACGTCACTGGCTGGCAATCTAGAAAACTCTGCCATAAATCATTCATACATGGTTCAGGCAGTTGAGGATACATACAAATCTGTCACATCGTTATATGAATAAATGTGTACAGTGAATAAAGAAATCAGCATTCTTTTAATAGTATCTATAAGAAAATAACTGTACTCTGTGGTCAAAATAGTTTTGTTGCAACTATAGCTTCGCAACGGCTGCATTTTAGCTTTTTGAGGGTACTCAGTATTTTTACGAGCATTCTAGCCCAGAATGTAGCTGCCTACTTCATTTTCTATCAATCTGAACCCATAGCCTTCAGGAGTTTTGTTGTTGGGGTTTTTTTGGGTGGGGGAGGGGGGAGCAGGGAGGCACCTAGAAATTCATATTTGCCTGGGCTGGACTTTTCTAGAGTATAAATTATTTTTGTCTTCCGGTTTTCTTTGTGCATGCCCAGAATAAAGACAAAAGTATATAATAGGGCAGCCCTTCTGGAACTGGGGGAGTGTCTCCACCAGGGCACCCATCTCCCAGAATATGCATAATGGTGTGAAGAAGCCTCCCTCAAGAGCAAGGCAGGTATTTTCCAAACTTCCATTCCCGGGAGGTGGTGATGGTAAGAGAACGCCAGACGGTGCGGCTGGTGGGAGGCCCCACCAGGAGCCAGCGCGCTGTGTCGGCCCGACACGCGCCACAAGTGGTTTGGAGCAAAAGGGAGGAGCGCAGCCCGGCGGGGCAAAATAAAGCCCATAATTCTGGAAGTCACCACCTCTCCAACCCCCATCCCCCACCCCCACCCCGTCACTTGTCCCCCATTCCTTCCTCTTTGCCTGCTAGAGGAATGACGCCCAAACCCGAACCTCCGCGCGCGCGCAGCTGGGTGGGTGGACGCGCGGCCACCAAAACCACCGCAACATCGCCACACCGGGAAGGGCACCCTGGGTGGAAGGCACGGCTGGGACTGGGAGGAGGGAGAGCAGCCGAACCTGGGGAGGCAGGTGTGGAGGCGGGCAGCCCGAATGGTGTGTGCGTAGACGCGGGGCAGGGGTACGCGAGCCCGGAGGGCTGGGCAAGTCAGAGAGCCCCGCGGGAGCCGGGCGGGAGCCGGGAGGGGCGCATCGGGTGCCAGCCGGGCGGCGGCGGCGGCGGGGCGTGCGGCCGGGAGGCCATTTCCTCGCTGCGCCCCTGGCGGAGCCGGGTTTGCCTGCTCTTGGCCGCCGCCGCCGCCGCCGCGCGAGTCGACCGCCGGGAGGGCTGGAGGGGAAACCAGGTCACCGGTTCGCAGAAGCGTCGCGGAGCGGGCGTCCCGGGCTCGGAGTAAGGCAGCGCCCCGGGAGCGGGCCGGGGCGGGCTGGGCGCGCGGGGGGCCGGGAGAGGCGGGGACTCCGGGTGCCCGGGCCACACTCGCTTCCTACGCCTATAAAAGTGGAGTGGCAGGGGAGGGCCGACGCGGCCCTGGCGGCGGCCGCCTCTCTTCGCCCAAGGAGTTGACATTTTGCAGGACTCGCGCGACGTCCCGTCGCCGGCGCTCCGCGGGACCCGGCCGCCGGGAGGAGGAGGCGGAGGAGGGTGGAGACTGTGGGGCTTGGCCAAGGAAGGCGCACATCCTCGGGCAAGCGGCCGTGACGCGGCGGGGATTAACTTTGCATGAATAATGTGAGTGCGCTTGGAAAGGAGACCTTCTGCTCCCCGGGCTCGGGGCAAGCGCCCGCCGGCTGCCTTCCCCGGGCAGGGGCGCCCAACCCAACCGGCTCCAGGGCACTGGTAATTTGGCGAGAGGACCGCGCGGAGGCGGAGGCGCGGGGCGGGGGTTAGAGGGGAGGAGGGGGCGACAGTTCCAAATGTCCAGAAGGGTGGGCAGGATGGTGACCAGGGTGTCGCGGGAACCTGAGCGCGCTCGGGCGGGCGGGCGTGGGTGGGTGGGGGTGTCAGCCGCCCTATTACCTGCCTCCGCGGGGCTTCTGCGCCCCGGGTCGGGGAGGAGGTGCCCTCTCGTGTTAGGGCACCGCGCGGCGGCACTCAGGGAGCCACAGCGTGGGCAGTGGTAGAACAGGGTGGCCGGGGGGCCGCTCCGATCGCCGTGGCTGTGTTCCTCAAACCCCAGCTCGGCTGTTGACAGGCTCCTTGTGAAATGGAGTTTGGCATCCTCAGCGCCGAACCGAGTGGAAGTTTCCATGATGAAGAAGTTCTGTGACACGGGGGTTCGGAAAAGGTTGGCAAACGCAGCGGGGGAAGCGGTTTAAGGGGGCTGTGGGCCCCCGCCCCCCTTTTTTTCTCCTGCCCCGGAACTGCCGGGTTTGGAAAGAATAATCCTGAGTGTTGGCGTGCGCTGTTGCCCGTGCCTGGCGACTTGGCTTCTCCCCGCCTCCTTAGGAAGTCGGTGGCGATTTCGTTAGCCTCCTGGGTCGCGCTTCTTTGCTTCTCTTGACGCAGCATCTTCCTCTGAGTCGCCTGAAGTTGGTTCTGATACCAGCAGCTGTGCCAGCTGTGCGCTACCCCCATCCCCGCGCCACCCCTCGGACAAGGACTAATTTGGGGGAGGTTGTTTTTTTTTTTTTTATTCCTAGTGGATTTTGACCTTCTTAGCTGCAGTTGTCATTTTGGAGGAGGATTTCCCAATGGCCATTGTAGGATTATTAGTGCTAATTCTTAAGCCTTCCGATTTGTAGGCGGGGGGGGGGGGGGGGGGGGGGGGGGGGGAGCATGGGGTGAGTTTTTTATTTATTAAAGGATACATGTATCATTTTCCCCAAATGGGAAATTTAAAAAGGTTTAGACGCGTAACGATCTGTAAAAGTGAGTCAAAGAAAGAGAAAAACATTTACCTGAACAGAGACGTAGAGATTCCACATCCTCTCCTCTCCATAGGCATTTAGAATTTGGGAAGATTCAGATACTATCCCAATCAGTAAATAAATTTGAAAGAGCCTTTTCTGCTTAGGGTGTTACTGATATCAGGTGCTAGTGAGATTCAGTTTTAAAGACCTGTTTGGAAGTTCAAAAAAAATCAAGCATTCTTTGGACAGCGTTAATAATCAGAGGACAGCAGTTCTTACAATAATAAATATATTGGGTAATGTAGACTTGTTGGGCAATATCTTTACATTATTTGTCCTTATTTTAGTTTAGTGTGCTTATTTACATTGTAATAATATGTAGCATGCACTGGGTTACAAAGTAAAACTTGCATTTTAGTCAAAATATTCCATGATTCATTCTGAATATTAACCATGACTGCTCCCTAATTCACTTCTACTCACTTCTCTTATGCTGAAACAAGTCAAGGACTAGGGGGGAAAATTTTTTTTTAAACGGTGTTTTGATAAGAAGTATTTTGATCAATGGATGATTTTAGGAGTTTTCATGCCACTTGGCTAAGTGTTTTAATTGACTGTAACAGAAATTCAATAGTAACTGATTTGTTTGGAGTTTTATATGGGAAGTCATTGGTGAACAACCATTTATTATCTGTGATTGTTAAACATACTATCAGAATTTTATTTTTAATGAATTTTAAAGTTTTGTTATATATTGGAAGTGGGACCATCTGCTAGCAAATATGATTTGCTTTTGTTTTTTGGTAAGTGGAAGTAAATGATACTGAATATAGCCACAGAACTATTCTTTTTTGAAGCAATTTCTGTTGGCATTACAATTCAAAGACATCATCTTATTGATATTGGGATATTGTTTCATAAAGTACTGACTTTACGAGAGGAATAAGCATTCCATTTCTCCCCTATAGATTCTTTGTAGCAAATCCTGCTATAGAGATGCATTAAGACAACTTCCTTTTAATCTACATCTTTGGGAATAGGTGATTTCTTAAAATTTCCTTAAGAAAGTTGTGGATTCCTTTGCTTTCCTGGGGTTTTTGCAGTTGTTGAAGCACAGGGTGTGTGGAGCTACAAATGGGATTGCACATTTCTTTTTTTAGTAAGCTCATCTTTTTTATGGAAATCAGAATAAAGACAATTGGTTTCTTTACCTCCTTTTGTCATTCTAGTGTAAGAATACGTGTCACATTTTTAAAAAACTCTTCCTTGACCACTTGAGCAAAGGTAGTCCCCCCACTCCTTCTCAGAACCATCACACTTTTTAAATTTCCTTTTCCCCCTCTTTCCTTGGTCTTATTTGCAGTCTGAATTGTTCATTTCAATTGGTATTTACCGATTACCTGTCTCCTGTGTCTAGCTAGAATAGAGAATCCATGAGAAAAAGTGTTTTGACTGCTTCTCCAGCATCTTGAACAGTGCTTGGCACACAGTGGGTTCTGAATAATTCTTTGTTGGATAAATGAATGGTTGTGCCCAAACATTGTGTTTCCAAAATACCTGACTAAGCTTCCTAAGTGGGTACCAATTGGGTATGCCAAGATCTGTGCCTGTATATGTGTGTGTGCCATATATATATATATATATATATATATATATATATNATATGGTTCAATCTCAATACTGTCTCCCTATCTCTCTCTCTCTCTCTCTCTCTCTCTCTCTCTCTCTCTCTGAAAGCTAGCCCTATTTTGTATAGTGACAATACAGGGAGTTTTTTCTGCGCACTTTTTCCTGGGGGCATTTGCTTTGAGTACACGGAAATCCTCAGCAGCAGTTTGTCTTACTTTGATTCCCTGAGACTTTGACCTTCAACACCCTGGGTTTCAGCAGAATTTTTATGAGTTCCAGAGGTATTGTCAGTGCTAAGAGTGAAATTCCAAGGAACAGACATCACTGGGTGATAGGAATGCTTTCTCACTTAGCAGGTTCTGGCAGTGTCACTGGCTTTGGCAGCCCTAAGGTGACCAAGAATGCTTGGTGGTATAGCTGGTCTGCAAAAGTGGTGGCTGGGGAAGGGGCAAATGGGACTGTCAGGATCTCACACAGGATAGAAATAGCCCTTGGAGGTAGATTTGGAAATAACCTGGTGGTTACCCTGTGTTGTAAGTTAAGTCAGTCAGCCCCTGCCTTTGCCCCTTTTCCACTTCCACAAAGAGATTTTGAGCCAGACGACTGTGGGAAGTATTGGATTATCTGAGCTTTCAAGTGACGGAGGTGTGATACCCAAGGGGTTATCTTCAAATTAGCTATTCATGGAAATTCTTTTGACAGTTGAGACTAGCAGGAGATTACAATCGATGATTATGGTAATTTGTTTTTGTTTATAGAGTATCAACTTTCAGAAATGTCTCTGAATAAATGCAGTCAAAAATTCCACAAAATGATGAGACTAGTAAAAATGGTAGGAGAAGAAATGATGAAAATCTTTTAGAGGAGCAAAGATAATTAAACTGAAATCCTGAGTGCTTTTTAAGCATTTAATTTAGCTCTGAGCTTCTCAGTAGCCAAGTTAATAGGAAAAAGGAGAGCCAGAGGTGGCAAGTATGTATTCAAGTTGTAAGGATAGATCAGATGACATTTGTAGAGTGCTAATTATGGTCCCTGACAACTGGTATATACATACGCCTATGAAATATCAAACCATATAATGGCCAATACTTGTACTTCAATTCTATAGAAAATGAAGTAGAGTTCTTTATATGATCATGTCTTTTACCAACTCTAGAGGGGGAAAAAAATGGAGAAAGCATAATATTGAAAAGTAATCCAGTGAGAGTTTATCGTTGGAGCCTAATCTGCCATGGTCCAGCGGTAGAGATTCTAGAGATTGTCCCCAGTGCAGAAATAGAGCTCAGAAAACCTAGAGGAATGAATGGTTAACATGTTCGTTAGGCTGACTTTCTCAAATATCCAGTGTCTCAGCCAAGCTTTTGACTAGAGCAATTTGAGAGGACAGGACAGCCAGGTATGTGAAAGTGACACTGTGGCCATAAACCTCTCTGAACAGGTGTCCTTCATGATTTCTGCTTTAGTCTCTATACTTCATATCACTCTGCAGGGTACTTTGTTTTTAGTGACCATTTCTGTCTCCCCCACTGAGCTGTTGTGAGGGGCTATGGGCTTGTTCATCCTTGACTCCCCAGCAAAGAACTTGACGCATGGGCACAAGGAAGTGCTTGTTGAAAGAATGACTCGAGGGTGAGAAGGGGTGGTGTTTCTCTTTCTCTTCTGATGTTGGTATTAAGTGTCATCTTCTGACTTGGTTTTGCCCACAGTGAATGTTTGCTGCCTGGATTGCATCATACGTCCATACCACAGCTGAATATTTTGCTCGAAGGGCTTAGTCTAGTGTCTGAGCTGGTTGAGCAATGGATGGCAAGTTAACTCCTTGCTTTATTTAAAGTCATTTTGATTAGTTGTTTTGTTTCTTCATTCAGCCGAAGGAAATTTGTGTACCTGCTGCATGCCTGGCCCTGCTCCTCATTTGAGACAATGTATTAATATTGTATTAATACACAGGGATTCTGAAATGGTTTACACTGGAATGGAATGAATCTGCCTCTTGGATCTTTTATATGACCCCCTAGATGAAATAGTTATTTTCATCTGAGGATCGTTTCGTGGTTTTTGCAGTCCATGTGTATTAGTGTAAATTGCAGTGTGATTCACCCAGGATTCTCTTGGTAGGCACGTGGTGTGGTATTAAATATGTTTAGGCCAGTGAGTCTCTAATTAGGGGTGTTCACACTGGACTTTAGGTTCCCTAACTTATTAGTCAAATTGCATTTAAGCAAGGGGGGTGGGGGAGGGAATATTCAA